TTTGGGTTTAGGGCTTAGGCCTTAGGGCTTAGGGCTTAGGGTTTAGGGCTTAGGGCTCTGGGTTCAGGGTTTAGGGTTTAGGGTTTAGAATTGCAAAGAGGGTTTTATAACACCCCTCTTCCTTCTGAGGGTCCTATGAAGCTTTGGAGTTCATTTTCAAGGTGCCTCTATCGATTTCTCATAGAATTCGAATTTTGGGGGGTTCCTTCTGAGGGTTCGATGAAGCTTTGGGGACTTCGACTTAGGGTTCCTTCTGAAGGTTCTCGGAAGCGTCGGGGTTCATTTGCAAAGGATTCTATACAACAGGGCGCTATGATGACGGTGATAACTGTCGGCATCGGCATCGTCGAAGTCCTTATAGTCAGCTTTTCGGGGGCTACAGGCCAGATAAATGAGAACCTATCCAACCCCGAAAGCCGATGAGCATGAAACCCGCAACCTGAACCCTAGACTCTATAGACAAACCTTCGGCAAAACCCTAAACACAACCCATAGAATAACTTCCAGGGAGCTTTTCAACTCATCGTTTTCTTACGTGAAAAGTCAGACTGTAGGAAAGACGAGCACTACTCATGGGACTAAATGGGGCCCCTAAGCCGCAAACTTGGCCCATCTTGGGGCCCTTAACTGAAACCCTAAACCCTAAACCCTAAACCCTAAACCCTAAACCCTAAATCCTAAACCCTCACCAAACCCTGAACCCTCAACCCCAGTCCTTAACCACCCTAAACCCTAAACCCTAAACCCTAAACCCCAATAAACCCCAGTCCCAAAAAGAAAACCCCTTCCGATGCATTCAGCAGATACAAGCCTTCCTCAAGGGCTGTCCGGAGATGTCCAAGGAAGTTACCTGAGCTGTATGCATACTTGTACATGTTTGTACAGTTGTATGTCTATATGTACATATATATATATATATATATATCTCTCTCTCTCTCTCTCGTACAACCATATAAGCATGTACCGTCTTGGGTTTAGTCTTTGCACTCTTGCACTTGGACGGGCCAGATGAGCTTCTCGGTTCGCAGCCGGCCTGAGAGTCTAGGGGTTATAAACTGCAAAAATGTCAGGGGATAAATATTTATCCCTGAACCTTACACCCTCAATCCCTTAGAACAAATCGAAGCCTTTGCTAAAACAACCTGGGTGTTCATTTGTCTCGCGGCTTCAGTGTTTCCGGACCTAGCTTTTGCGGATTACATACATAAGAGCATTCAAATATGTGTACACTGTACATGTAACTATATATTACATCATGTTCTACTCTATTATACTAGCTTAGACTATAGACTATTTGATATGGCATTACACTGTGTTGTGTTATATTGCATTAGCGCCAAACTATTAGTATTACCTTCTTGACTGGCATCATTACCGTCATGGTTTGATTGTCAATAAGACTGTTTAGCACCATCATTAGTGCTGCTACTTCTTGTTCTTATTGTTGCTGCTAGTATGACTGTTCAGGTTGTTATTGTTATTCGTATTATTATTTTGTTGTTCTCGTTGTTCTTGTTAAACAATTCGCAACCTTAGTCTTGTTCTTATTATTATCGTTCTTCTTCTTTTACACGAATAACCAGAACTAGTTGTATTCCATGGATATATGAATTTATGCGTGTGCGTTTGTGTTTATAACTATACAAGCTTGTAAAAATGTAACTGTGTACATGTATGTATCGAGAGAGAGAGAGAGAGAGAGAGCGAGAGAGAGAGAGGGAGACAGAGAGCGAGAGCGAGAGAGAAAAAAAGACACAGAGAGAGAGAGAGAGAGAAATAACTCTTCATAAGGACCCCTGAACTGATGGGTCTGCCCTAAGGCTCCAGCTCACCTGACAAGTTAATGCTCAGCTCGCAACCTATAGCTTTTAAGGCAACTGGAGATCATGGGATATGTAGCTGGCAAAAGGCCCATGACTCAAGGCATACCGGAGCCAGGAATGAGGTTTAGGCACGGTGAAAGAGGGTCGACATGAGCAGCTGCAGGAGCACGCCCCATCAACAACCCAAAGTCTGGAGATCAGTTTCTGGACGAGGGCACTGCTCCAAATTTGCAAAGTGTGCGTCTTTGTCAAGCCTGAACCATGCCATGCCCTAGGCCATTCGCCGAAGCTCCATAGCCCAAACCCTGCAGACTAGAGAAGAACAGGCCCTAACCCCGCACCCAACCGGGCCTCTCTAGACCGGGGTTGCTTTTTGAGAACCTTTCCTCACCATCACCACGTCTAGATATCCACATCTCTACAGTGTAGCCTGAAAAGTTTGCACCTCGGTTTGACCACTCCAGAGGAATCCAGTTTACGGGATATGTCATAGCATGAGGTTTGTACGCTTCTTGCTAATCCCTGTGCCTGGACCGTAATTTCTATACGGTACTACCGTATAACCCTAAACACGAAACCCCTGTTCTCCCTGTAATCACCCTGGCCCTAAGCCCAAGCCCTAATCCCTGTACTCCCTTTAGACTATATATACCTTAATCGGGTATACTCCCTATAGACACCGGCTTAAGCCCGGGCACCGTCTTCAGATGGAGCAACGCTGAAAGCAATGCCTCTGCTGCTCAGATCTACGAACCGCATCTCTGGGTCTATGGCAAGCGCCTAAGGTGGGATACTGAAGCTCTAAGTAAGTAAATATGTATGTATATATCTACGTATGTATGATTATGAATGTATGTACGTATGTAATGTGATGCCATGTAATATGTGCCTGTATGTATTATATATATATATATATATATATATGCATACACACACAAACCCAGAGCCGAGACATCCAAAGTATTCGGGCATCAGGGTATAGGCTCAGCGTTTCAAGCAACTGTGCTTGCATACTTAGCAACTTTTGCAACGGTGCATCAAATCCGAAGCATCTAAACCTTCGGTTCCGATTGCAAATGGATGTTACCTTCGATCGGCAGTGTGGTACACACACGATGAGGCTTGTACATTACGAATTGGTGTGTGTGTGTGTGTGTGAGGGACGCCCGCCGGACGTTCACGAAGGGATCAATTAACAATTCCAGTACATTGGAGTGTCCGAATCCCGCCAGTTCTTATGGGAAGCATTCTGGCTCCGAATCCCGCCAGTGTAGGAAGGGAAGCATTGGTCCTGAATCCCACCAGTACATGGGTAAGCGCGGTGGGCGTGTCGCTGAATCCGCCAACAGATTATAGGCAAAGCATTCTGCCGTGCTGCCGACCGAAGGCGGTCGTCCTGGTCCTCGTCCTCTAAAGCCTAAACCCTAAAACCCTAGAGCCCTAAAATCCCTGCATCATTGTTTTGGGATCTGCGCTAGCAGAACTGTGCAGGGCTTTTGGCTTCTGCAAGGTAGCCAGGGGCCGAGATTCTGTACTCTTCCTAAGTTTCAAGACGGAGCATGGTATGGGAGAGCTACCTCCAAAATGAGGCTTACTGGTCGGGATATGCCGAGATCTCACATCATTGTCCTTGACCTTCAACGCCCGAATGTCCAGACCTGAGCCTGTAAATCCTAAACCCGAACGGCCTGTACCAAATGCAATCTATCAGTTTAATTATCGAATGCCAAACAAACCCTATACCCTAAACCCTCAACCCTAAACCCTCAGCCCTAAACCCTCAACCCCAAACCCTCAACCCTCAACCCTTTTACACAGGCTTGATTGGAGCTCGCCCTAAACCCTCAACCCTTAACCCTGGACCCTCAACCCGAAGCCCTAAACCCTCAACCCTAACCTAAACCCCACACCCTTCGCCCTAAACCCTAATCTTGAACCCTTAAGCCCTTCTTGCCAGGGCTCTCCCAGGCTTCGCCCATCTAAGCCGCAGCACTGAAGGTCCAGCGTCCGAAGAGCTCGAGCTGACAGCTGTACGAGGGTTTAGGATTTAGGGGTTTAGGGTTGAGGGCTTAGGGGTTTAGGGTTTAGGGTTTACGGTTTAGGAGTTTAGGGTTTAGGGTTTAGGGTTTAGGGGTTTAGGGAAATTTGGGTTTAGGGTTTAAGGTTTAGGGATTCTTGGGGATGTCAGGGCGTTGAGGTTGAGCACTTGAGTGGCTTAAAGGCTCCTGGGACTTAGCACCTCGGGATCACCCACTGATAACCCCAATGCATTTAGCTCTAGCAGTTAAGTTTTTGGGCTTAATGGTCTGCAGCTTTACTTCTATTTTCGGTTCTGGGCCCGCAAATGTTTCAGGCGAGGCTTCAGGACTTCAGGGAGACTGGAGGCTTTAATGGTTCGGAGCCAGGCTGGATCGGAGTTGAGGGTTTTAAGGGGGTGTCAAGGGTGCGGGGTTTACGGTTCAGAGTTCGAAATTAGGGTCTTAAGGCTTCAGGGTTTTGGGGGTGGTGCGGCTCTTGAAGAGGTTCCAGCAGCGAGGACACAAGGCCGATAACCTGCGAACTATGGGTGCTCCCAAGCCCTACCTGGACCCCAAAACGACCCACCTTGTCAAGGACTTCTATGAGGAAATTTAAGTTTGGGCATCGAAGCTGAGAATACTCAACAAACACACTGGCCTGGGTTTGCAAGGCATATATAAGCTCTAGGGTCATGAGTCGTTCCTCTACTGCTCGTGAGACTATGAAGCTATCCCTTGAAGAAGGAAAGGTGCATTTGGGGATCTTACGCTCTGTGACCAACCTGACAAGCCCAAAGCCGTGAAGCCTGCAGCTAGGGAGATGGGAAGGGAGTTGGGGCTACAGTCGCGCCTAAGCATCACAAGTTACACCTGATCCCGTTCGGATATGATAACTTCGAACCATGCCGCACTCCAACAGCTGCGTCCAAGTGGCCGGAGCTACGCGCGAGATAGGTAGATGCGAAGACCTTCGTTTTGAGCAGACAAGTGGGAACTTCAGTTTCAAGACAGCTGCCCAGCATGCCGGATCCTAGATCACATTCTTCATACGGCCTGGCAAGGACGATCTATTTTAGGGTTTAGGGTTTAGGGTATGCACTGAAGCGAAAATCCCGAAACCCTGGAACCTGTACCCCAAAGCAAACCCTACTGACCTATGCCCCCACACCTCACTGAGAACCGTGCGCAGATCCCATGTGGCATCACCGGCTCCTTCTCCAGGCTAAACCTGACAAACATCGAGCTACACTCGGATCGGTTTTGGGCTGAAAAGATGGAGATTTCGCAGACTTGAAGCTCTAAAGCAAGCATATGTTGCAGGGTCTGTCGGAGTAAGGATTCATCCTGCGCCCTAAAGAAAAAGTTAGGATATACCACACAGAAATTCAGCCTCTCTACCTCGGCTGTCAAAACAGAACGCTGCTTGCAGCGGCTCAGGCAGGTTGTGCCAAACTTGCAAAGCCAATACTGCAAACTAGAAATGGACGGAGTAGAGCAAGGAAGCATACTAACTAGTACCTAGTGATACGGTTTAGTACTAGCTTTCCCCATTGTGTTGCAAAGCTGTGGTAGTGTGCAGTCAGCTGCTGTGCAGTCTCACACTCTGCGGATCAATGCATTGCTACGGCCCTTGCACGTACAAACCGGCTTACTGAGATCCCTGGCCCGCCACGCCAGCGATTCTCCAAACATACCTGAACCCTGCAGAACATACCTTTTGAGGTTTTGGCCTTTAAAATTTCTGGTGGGTCATGTACTGCAAAAGTGCAGTGGGGCTGGGCAGGGCCCTTGAAAAATAGAGCATATTCCGAAAATAGGGGACCCTAGTATAGTACCCTAAATAGTAGGATCCTTATTACCCCTTCTTTTCGGAAACTCCCATATCTTGACACCCCTTGGCTCCGAGGAACTCTTCCTTTGCTACACCATGGATCGGCACGCCATTGTAGGTGGTAAGGCGACCTCGCAAGGTCAACTGCATGTGGGTAGTTCTCTAAATTAGGGTCCCTTTTAGGGTCCTGTTAATAATGGTGCCGTACTATATTGGGGACCTAAAATGGGGCCTAATTTAGACAACTACCCATGTGCTTACGTCCTGCATCTTCAGGTCTGAACGTTATAGGGTTTAGGGTTTAGGGAGTATCGCAGCTTCTTTCGTAGACAGCTGATTCAACGGATTTGGGGCTTCTCAGGACACACCATCTCAAAGTGCTTTCGAAGTCCAGAATGGTAGGATCGCTCTCGGGACTCTTCTTTTCTGAGGACTACCCGGCGCTGCCACCGTCCATGGGTGGGGCGCAACGAACGCATTGGCAAGAACGCAAAGACCGCATCGAAACTCTGCTCGAAACAGCTAGTGACATGAGATGCCTCGACAGCCAGATGCATCATGATCAAGGAATGAAGCTGTATGCGCCTTGAAATGGAACAACGCGTGCGCATAGACATACTTCTAAGAGAGAATCAGCCAGTTCTGGGCGACCACTTGGGTGTTTGCTACAAGGACAACCCGTCACTCTCAAACACAAGCCCGCGTAATCTTCGATTCTCGGAATCCTAGAGACGTTTTTTATGTTGGGGTGGTTTCGGGGGTCGCACTGCGGCTGCCTTCCCTTTCCAGGGTGAGCACGGCGTCGATGATGTGCTCTGTCTCGTGGCCAAACTCATTGTTTCTGAAGTCCAGACTCTTGAGGAAGCCTCGGCTGAGGTGCCCAGGGAGCCATCTGAAAAGTGATATTCTGATATTCCTTCATTACCCTAAGGGGGTTAGGGTTTCGGGCTCAAGGGGGTTAGGGTTTAGGGCTCAACGCCCTCATCCTGACCAGCAAGCCCTATACATCCAAAAAGTAACACCAAACCCTATACACTCGTCAATGCCTGAACGCACAGCAAGTCTGCCTACGCCTAAACCCCTAAACCCCCCAAGAACCAGAAACGAAACTTCCGCAGCCAGAGCCTGCTCAAGAATAGGACCCATAAAGCCGACCAGTACATGGGTTTCAGACAGACAGGCCCCATACCTCGCCTTTCCAAAGCCCTACTACAAAGCCCCAAAAAACCCCAAGGGTCCAGGTACCCAAATAGTATATACTTTGGCCTTGAAGTAGTCCCTCTATAGGTACTCTGAGGCCAAGGTATATACTATATGGGTACATGGACCCTTCGCTAACTCGAGAGGGGTTCCCTAAACCCTAAACCCGAAGCCCTGAACCCCTAAACCCTAAAACCCTACAACCCTAAACCCCTTTATAGCACATGGACCCTTATAAGGGAACCCCTAAAATTTTTCCGAAAATAGGGGACCCTAATCTAGCACCCTTAATAGTAGGATCCTTATTATAAGGACTCCTAAAATAAGGTACCCCTAATTTTCGGAAACTCCCACATGGACCCTTAGGGAACCCCTAAAATGGGCTGACTTTTGTTTTTGTCCTGTCGGTGGTCGGAGCTTCTGCAGCCTCGGAGCGGCCTTTCTCCAGAACAAAGACCAACCTCAGAAACTCCGGGGGCTTGAAAGGGTTTAGGGTTTATGGTTTAGGGTTTTAGGGTTTCGGGTTTTAGGGTTTAGGGTTTAGGGTTTAGTTTTTATTTTTGAACTTCTTTTTCCGTCTGCAGAACCATCCACCACATCAGGGTTGAGGGTTTAGGGTTTAGGGTTTTGCGTTTAGGGCTTTGGGCTTAGGGTGTTGGGTTTAGGGTTTAGGGTTGTCCCTAACCCCCCAATGGGAACCAGATACCTACTATATAGGGTACTAGAGCCCCCAGGGCCCTGTATAGTAGGTACCTGGAGGGTTAGGGTGGGGTGTTGTTGCATACGGCTGTACGGTCTAGGGTTTAGGGTAGGGTCTAGGGTTGAGGGTAGGGTTTAGGGTTTAGGGTTTGGGTGAAGGCATGTTTTTTTCGTTTCAGGGGGTTACGCTCTATGGGTTTGAGGAGTAGGATGCGAAGTTGAGGGTTTCGGTGCTCACACCTCAAAGGGCGGGTGAGGGATCAAAAACAAGTTATCACGGACCGGGTAACGACGGAAATCAGGCCGAAAAGAGCATCAGTTCGAGCCGCAGGTATGATTAAGGCTACTGCGTGTGAAGTGTCATCGTGCAACTACTGGCCGTACTGTTGCAGTATGTACGACTAAGTCACGATCAGCAATGACTATCAAGATTCTTGCTACTCGCTAAACCTCAGCGCAAAGATTGCACATTACCCATAGGCTCCATGGTAGTTCCTTTTTTGTGTTTACCTTGAAGGATCCTAAACATAAACCAAAAACAGGAACTATAATGGAGCCTATGGCTAGTTTCACACAACACTGCTGACACGTCACAGCGGGGCCAGAAACGACCGGTCCATGACGACCTTCGGCCCGTTTAGGTCCAGAACATCTCCTGAGCCGTCCTGCAGGAAAGGTAGCTTAGCACTCTTTCTTCTGAAAGAGCTGAGAAGCTTAATGTCTTCATTACTATGAACCATGATGGAATCACGACTAGTCATAGTTGTAGTAGCATGGTTAGTCTTGTTTTTTGCAGGCCGTGCGGTTATCATACTGTAGGAGCGTCCCCTTCCCTGGAAGAGCACTGAGATGCGCTGAGGGCTGAAGCTGCGCCATTGGGTTTACCAGAGTCCGTGAAACCCCCGCTTTGAGACCTATAAGATGGATTTCCCCAAAGGGTCCTCGTGTACCTGTGGAATACTTCCCCAAAATCATAGACGTCACTGCTACCCTACTTTCTACGACTATGTAGGTACTTAGGGTCGTATGGGTTCGTATACCTAGCTTTGGACTGAGTGAGGCACAACCCCCTACCATGGATCCTTTACAATGCGTGTAGCCTCCCCTTTCGACATCAAGCACACATAATGACACAGCTGGTGCCTTACACCACCCACCCCTCCCATGCATATACTCCCGCGAGGATCCGGGTCTCTTTACACCCAACGGCCATCCTTACTATGGTTTCTGGTGCTTGGCATGGTCAAAAACTGCGGTATGCATACATGTGTGTATGCATGCATGTGTGTGTGAGTTTGTTTGCTTGCCGTTGCCTTTGCCGCTTTCGGGCATCCAGGTTTCACTGGTTATGCACACAGCTACAGCAGCGGCTTATCATATATTATCAGACCGTGCGCTCACAGCCTACAAAAAAACATAGAAAGCTACAAAAAGCAAACAGACATACACATATCTATCTATCTATCTATCTATAATACACACATTTCATAGAAGTATCGCTTCTACATGAGAACTTACATCTATAAGACTTTCTTCTAAAGAAAGTTGGGGTTCAGGCGCCTTAGAGTTGAAGGCCTTAAGGGTCGCAGGCTGGGAATTCGGGGGGGGGGGGATTGTAGCAGTTGTTGGCGCTTCATGTCACATGCACTGAGTAGACGAACGGAACAAGAAAGGTCTCCATAATTACTCGATTCGCTGATTTTTTCTAGGATTATAGGTGCTCTTTCAGCTGAAGCCCAAATATCCTAAAACCACATTGGCTTTCGGGGTGCGTTGGTTCTTTAGGTAGGGTCCTGGATCCTAAGCCCTTCTGTGTTTGGCGCTCACACTGGGACAATCCAAGCGAGGCAGGGAGGGGTCAGGGTTTAGGGGTTCTAGTTTCGTGTTTGGAGGAATAGTCGGGTTCGACCGGCACCCCGAAGGTATCAGGGCTGATGAACCTTGAGGCAATCCCAAACCCGATAATCCCTAAGCACTATAAGCCTTGCGAGCCCTATAACCCTGTGAGCCCTGCACCCCAAACCCTGCACCCCAGGCCCTTTTCAGCAAGCCCTAAACTTTAAACCCCAAACACTAAACCCCAAACCGCCCAAAACGTTTACCCTGAATCCTGAAATCCGGCTTTTGGCTCGGAGTCTCTTTACAGGAAATGCCGGAAAGTTGGAACACCACTCTCCCGGTACAATCATGGGAAATCCATGTTCCAACTTTCTGCGAACTGCGAACCACTGTAGGTAAGGAAGGTCCTCCATATCGCGTGGAAAAAGGTTGACTCCTTTGAAGCACACCTGGCTTGGGGTTCAGGGCTTAGGGTTTACGGTTCAGGGTTAAAGTTCAGTTTAGGCTAGGGTTTAGGGTTTAGGGTTCAGGGTTAGAGTTCAGGGTTCTAGGTTCAAGGTTTCAGCGCTCGCGCTCCTAGGGTTCGGGGGTTGAGGTTTTGCAGGGGGGCTCTTCGCTCCGAGGGTGAAGCAAAGGAATGCTTTTCTCCGGGCATTGGGTGTAAGGTATACTTTATGTAACAAGCCAACATCTGGGTGAAGGGCCTTGGAAGTGAGGTCCCTAAATTGGTATTCCCATTTAGGATAGCGCTGTCGGTTGGTATTCAGGGGCCCTTCGAGTCAGAATCCCGTCGAGATCGGGAGGTTAAGTTGTGGGTTTAGGGTTTAGGGTTAGGAGTAAGGTTTCCTCTGAACTCTGAAACCACCTCAGGCTCTGCTCTCACGTCTATACAGAAGGGCTTCCAAGTCTAAACCAAACGAGTTCTAACCTAGATGCTAACCCCTTGTCACTTGTGGATAGAGGGGTCAGTATCTGAACCTAAGACCCAAACCAACCATCTCTACAGATATATAACTCCCGAACTTACCTAACCCTAGGTCCTGCCCCAGTACCCAAAGGCACCGAAAGCAAACACAATCATGGCCCAACACCGTTCAGGCTATTACTCTACATTTGGGGTCCGGGCAATCCTGAAACACTAAACCCTAAACCATAAGGCCTAAACCAAACCAGAGTGTCCTAGAGTTCCAAAAACTTGGTTCCGTCTTTCACAGCCTCGTCCAGTGCTGGGCAGCCGCTGCCCCGGAGTTGTCGCAAACCTCGGCCCCAAAATTGTTTGGGTTAAGGGTTGAGGTTGTGGAATTTAGGGCTTTGGTTACATTCCGCTTCTGGGTCGGGGTTTTCAGGCTGTAGTCACGATAATTCCTCTAGCAACTCGGCCAGGACTTCAGATAGGTCCATTACACACCATTTTTGCGACCCCTAACCGAGGCTTGAGAGGACGGTGCTCAGGGTTGAAGGCTTCTGTTTGCTTTCGTGTTCCCTAAACCCTAAACCCTAAACCCAAAGGGTTTAGGGTTTAGGGTTTTGGGGGTTGAGGCTATCGGCCCGGGGGCCGGAGTGCACAGCGCATGGCCTCATGTTCTGCCACAACCCCTCCGACCCCGCACACACCACAAGAAATGCCTATCTCAAGTCACGTAGGCACCCCATTCTTCGAATTCGGGCTACATGAGTGTAGCCGCGCATGTAAGATACAGGTCTGAAGAATTACTAATTCTAGTCTCAATCTAATCTAATTGCTAAGGCCCCTGTGTTTCTGTAGAAAAAACCCGGACCGCCAATCTTGGGGTGTGGCCAGGCCCTACATGAAGGGTTTAGGAATCGAAAGCCCTAAGACGTCCAAAAGCCTACAACTTCAAACGCCCAAACCATAGTCAAGCTACTGTCAACAAGGTCCTTCACCGTATCCACGGTGAGGTTTGCACTGACCTTCACCACTTGCAACTTGGGCCGGGGAGGGGGGGGGGGGCTAGGATCTAGGTTTGTTTTTGCCTCCCACCTACATAGGACAAGCTCGCGTTGCAGGGTTCAGTCAGAGAGCGCAGTGGAGTTCGTCATGTTGCAGCATATGGCAGATCGCCAAAGAACATTAGCAGGTATTCAACCATACACAGCTATGACTCTAAAGCCCGCATCAACACTCGGCTTTCTGGCACTTCTGGGATTTACGGTTCGAAGTTGCTGGCCTCTAGAAGGGTAAACCAAATAGTTTGGCTAGTCTTTTTTTGCATATGGGGTATATCTTCTAGACTCTAGACTCTTGGTTGAGGTCGCAAGCGAACCCTGCTTCTCACTCTGGTACTTAGGCTGTCTGTGACTCCGAAACCGCACCTGGAAGTGCTTGTGCACTCCCATGCACTCCCTTTAGATTTTGTGGCACTACCAAAACCGGTGCTTATCAAGATTCACTGATGGGCTTGCGCATTTCACAAATATAGTTTAAGCGAGTATAGGCAACCCGAAAGCCTAAAAGCTCCAGTGGGGGTATGTGCTAAGCACAAACACCGAATCCCCAAATCTACGAACAGCAAATCCACACCCGAATCTCGGAACCCCAACACCAACAAACAATAGAACAACAGAATAGAACAACCTGCAGCCCAACATCGCACAAAACACGAGAAGCCACGACCCTACCCTAAACCCTAAACCCTTTTTGCATCGTGCAATCGCCTGAATATCCGAGCCCGCAGAA